GTACTTATGTTAGAAAATCCGCTTTTAGAAGCAGTCACTCTGCATTTCTTTCCAGACAGTATAACTTCCTTGAATGCAACGCTTAAGCTTTCATCTGCCATTCCCTGTCGTCCTACTGATCCTACCTCCTCCTTACGTCCGATGAGTATCTTGGATCGAATGCTTTCGAATCTTGCATGTATTTTGCGTTTACTGTATGAGCAGGCAATGGAAAATTGCCACCTTTTGTATTTCCCTACTAAACTGAACTGCAACAGAGCGAGCCTCTTCAGTTTATTATTAAAATCTTAACGTTGACGGAAAGAGCTTATTAGTCAAGCACCCACTAATACCTGGCTTTGGCTGCAACTTTTGTGTTTGGAACTGGTGAAGAACGTGTCGATAAACTGCTACTTCATTTCCCATCTTTGTTGTTGTCAATTTTTTGTCACGTCTTTTCCTAAATACGAGTAGAAGTGCATACGTACGTATTTACGCCTATAAGCGTTGCACATTTAGAAATTAGTGTATAACTTGGCACAGGTATTGCTCTGACTGAAAGGCCTTAGATCATGGTATACGACGATTCAAGCAGGGAGCTTAACATATCCATATGGAAAAATCGCCTCGGCCAACAAAGGGTCGGTTGCGAGTCTTTTTCACGTTTGCCCCCAAAACCGGTTCACGCTCACCTCACCATAAACACGAAATACAAAAAACGTCATATTGCGTATGATTGTAGGTAGCCACCATGATAGCTTAGTGGGCAACGTATTTGCCCCCTAATCTTAGAGACACGCTGTGGTCCAGATAGATATCGTTTCGTGCTGGGAGCCAACCATCTGATGAAATATCAGCCATATCGGATATAAAACTCGAAACGTAGAGGGACTGTGATGGATAATGTTAACTTCGGTCAAATTGTAGTAAGTTCAGCAGCTGGCGCATCATGCTCCCATTATGCCTACTATGCGTACATAAAACGAATGCACCCTTAAAATTAGCTATAACTCCTTTGGGCTTTTCCAGTCAAGGGTCAGTAGTAATCGATGCTCGGCTCGTCAGGCGATGTCATCCCGAGATCTAACAATTTCATTAAATATAATCATACGTTTTCATTTAACAGGCTAACTGTCTTTAAATACTACTAACTAGAAACAAGCATTTCGTATTCAATCAATCCTATTTTCCGTAATAGTCATAAAAAGGGTGATGTTACCCACATAGTGACTGGATTTGGGCTACGTATACTTTTGTAGAGCAAAATCTACTTACCGATGGAGCTGCAGAAAATTTTGAGTCGATAGTAATATATATATATATATATATATATATATATATATATATATATATATATCTAATTGAGCATTTATACCACGAACAAGGACGATTCATTTAGCTGAAAGTCGAAAGCCGGGTAGAAAACAACTATATTCATATTTGTTTTTTTTTAGCATGATATTTTGAAGACTTGTCGATGTTCGCCTTAGTCGATGCTTCTATGCGCAAACATAGGCAGGACTGACTGGATTCATCATTAATAATGTATTAGCTAAGGGCCAGCCTATTTAAGCGGAAGGCATACGCCTTAAATGACATTGAGGTAGGCAGTTGAGCACCTGGCTGTAAATGTTAGGAGTATTTGCTCAGCCTGTTTTAGTATAGGGTATAAAATATGTAAGAGAATACTGGGCTTATTTAGCCAAGGGGGCTTGAAAGAACTTCAAAAGGCGGTTAGGCAATACGCCATTATTACTCTCGAATACTATATAGATGATATATTTGCCTAAATCTCTGGACTAAAGCTAATGCTATCGAAGTCTTTTTTTTTTTTAGCTATTGACATAATGAGAACACATTGGAGCATTTAATGCGGCCGTTTTTTAAACGAGGTAATCGTTGGCTTATTTAATAGCGAAAAATGGCACTCAAGATGACACGAATGCCCATAACCGACAACTGTGAAGAGTTCGACAAGTGTCGAAGACGTCAAAGCAAATTTTTAAATGTATTGCATCTCCACCCTACGAGTAGGCGAACAGATCAGTACTTTTTGATATGATCCATATAATATGATTATATATGTGCAATGTTATATGTGATAATATGATTATACACGTATATGATTATTATGGTACTGTTCATATATGGAATATACGTTACTCAATGCATACATCTTTAGTAGTAAAATCGAGAATATTAATGTGCTATAAAATCAACTGTTTGCACATTATACTATAGGTCATACTCACATAGCATGTCGCAGCAAGCGCAATGGGGTATTTGCCCTGCATCTTTGCCTCCGACCATAGCTTCGCTATCTAATGGCAGTATCATCGGGAAACAAGATATTATTGTTACAAATTTGTATAGAAATCTTCTATTTGTCGCCAGTATATTGTCTATGTAGACCTATTAGTTTGCTTGATTTCATTTCAAGATGGCCTGAAGCCTCTCATAACTCAATGTTTAACCCCACATGGCTTTTGCGGGAAAATGCAGACTAGCGTTTCCCCTAACAGAGTTTCTTTTGAAAGTAAATTAATTTAAAATGGCTTGATGGCAGTTGATTGAATCTGATAAACAAATAATTGAGTGAGGTAGCTGATCCAGACAAAGCAAGAGCACTGCAACTCTCAAAAACGTCTATCCACATTGATATTCCGTACGAGTAGCACAGAGCTGGTGCACCAGAAACATAACGACGAAAATGTCTGTATGAGGGCAATGAATGATAGTATAATATCGAAGGCAGATATAAGCTGTCTCCGTCATAGCTTGGTGGGCAACACATTTGTGTGCTAATCTTAGGGCACGTTGTGGTCCAGGTTCGAACCCAGAGGGCATAGATACGCAGCTCGTTTCGGGCTGCAAGCCAGCCATCTGTCTGATGGGATACGCCAAACAACAATACCGGACGCAAAACTCGAAACATCGAGATATGTTTGTTCGTATTTATTGTGCAATTACCATATAAATTGAAATAACCCAAAAATAAAATAACATAATTTCACTACTAAAAATCACTTGAAATGATAAGCAAAACGTATGTCAACGTCAAAAGATTAAATGTCATTATTTACACTCTATAACATGTGTACCATTTCGACATAGTCGGCATCAATTGCTCTTGCTTTTTGCTATACGTATAGAACGAACTGTAGAATTTAGCCATAGGGGACGTTCTACAACAAATCCACTACGAGATAATTATAGTTATGCCTCAACTAGAGATATTAAAAGATCTAGCACTGGACAAAAATATAATTTTCAGCAAGAGAAAGTACGACAGCATATCTTGCCTAAAATGCAAAGGTCCGTCGAATTTAGATTCCCTCTCTATAGAGAAAAAAAGTTTGTATCGAGGGTCCGAAAGCGCTGCGACTCAAAAACTCGAAGGCTCGAAACTGCATTAGCGGGTGGACCTTGAGCTTGTCGATAAATTTTGATGTTACACTTTTTCCGTAAATTTGACCGTTCGTAGGATGAATGGAACGAACGGGTGAACAAGCAACCCGTACAGATTTTAACAGATTACGGAAAATCTTATGTAATCATACGAACTATGTAAATAGAAAGACTGTTTAATTAAATGTTGTAAGTGAAGTGGTTAAAAATCCTACACAAAGGGATGACTACTTGATTTATTAGTTTTTTAAGGTGCTGGACGCCAACTACGAGCAAGGCATGAAGGGCTTGGGGTAGTAAAGAAGTGTCGATAGAGACGTTTTTAACGATGGCTAGCTTGGGAGCACCTTATTAATACTATGTGTTATTATGGCATTAGCAATTGTTTAAAACAGTACTGTTATTGAGCTTACTCTGCGCGGCCAAAAAGATTTAGGAATAATACTTGGACATCAGGCTTTACCTTTAATCAAAGTTACCCTATTATTTTATAAAAATTCACGGGAAGCTGCTGCATATATATGTATATGCGAATATGAGAAAAATGGCCGGCATAGCAGAAGCAGATAGGGCTCAATACCTGGAAACAGGCATGACAAGGAAATCTATTCGTCATTAAGAGACACCGGATTTTATATAAGAATGGACTTTAAGGTACGTTAGTACAATGCTCAAAAGAAGCTTACTAACATTATTTCAGTTAAAGAAGGTGTTGATTCTAAGACTACGTTCGTTTTGTGCAATATGGGACTCCTCACAAAACATGTTTGCATGTCCTTATAAAGCATTGTAGCACAGATGGCTCCAAACGAGGCGCTGAGAGATGATCGTTTTATTATTGTGTATTTACAGAAAATTATATGAACTTCATTTATTTCAGCAAGCTAATAGAGCGATTGATTCTATAACTAACGTTCGAAAGAAGATTGCCCTTGTACCCAATCTTAGTTCACACGTTATAAAGAAAACCTGAAGCTAATTTGCAAGTGTATGCCACAAAATAATTACACCACTTAGTCCAGCCGCACAGCGGCTTAAGGAATTCTGGAAGCGGTTTTCTCCAAACCCAGCCCAGTTAGCAAGCTCGTAACGGTCAGCAAGTCGTACGCCTTGTGCGAGTGTCGGAGTATCGGACGCCTAAAGCTATACTAATTAGCTAAGTGTTACTTAGGCAAAATGTGCTGAGTGTCTGCCCTTGATTGAAGGGCACAGGATTATATTGGCTGTATTCGTCTCTACTACTACTCTACTGTGTGGACTCTACTAGTTCTGTATGGGCTCACCCTATACAAATGAATGTTTCGAAGCTGGTTTACCCAGCAGCGGATCATATCGAACTTTACCGCATTTTGTTTCTATGTGGCCTCTGATGATTTACGTACTTCACAAGAAGAGAACGTGTTTTTTGCCACTCACATTCATCGCTGTTTGTGTAGTTGAGAACACCGTTCTGTTCAAATGGATCAGACACCGACACTAATACCAGACCACTAGAGATTAGATATACGTATGCATATTTGCTAACGGAGCTCTATTTGTTGCTTCTTCGTAACCTGTTTGATCCCATGTGACGGCTGCAACGTACCTGACGTATGGCTCGTTCTTACCCAAAGCAAGAAACATGTACCTCATGAGCCAGTTGCCTGGAGGCAGTAAAAACAAATCGCCCACTAATAGTCTGTATGCTGTAACACCAATTCCGAGTTCGGTAACGGTAGCAAGAATGCTGACGGTATTCGAACGAGGTAACAGACGCGTTCGCGGTCGCTTTCATAAACGAAATGAAGTTGCGAAGCTACAACATCGATCTTCACTGGTGTGTCCAGTAATTGGCAAATCGTCAAGCAATAAACTGCATCTTCGATATCATTGGCTTTTAATTTCGGTACCGTAAATCATACTAACAAACTCAAAAATTGTTTTTAAGAACATGAATTAGGAAGCAGCTCTGCCCATTGTTAACTGCGTCTTTTGGACACTGTCAGAGTGCGTACAGACTGTTTATAAAGCTGCTATCAGGACATTTTTCGAGAGCTTGTTAAGTAGCGCTATTCCCGCCATCGTATAGAAGACCTATATCAGTGATTACAAAAAATTAATCTGGATATTTGCAGTGTGGGATTCACATGAATAGAGAGGGTAGACGGTACAACGAACCGAGCGGGGGAACAGGCTCTATGAGTAATAAGTGCAAACAATGTCTTCGCCTTCGGCAAATTCATAAACTTCCTAATTTATGTTGTTAATGACTGCAAGGTAGCTATCTAGGCCTGCTTTCGTTTCATCTGAAATCTTCATTGAATCGGTTTTCATGACTTTGTTACTTCCGATGCCACTTCTTTCACTGGAAAAGGCTCTTTCTTTGGAATCGTTTCCTTGAGAAAGGGAATGGCTACTGAATCTGTTAAAGGAATACGTAGTCCTGTAATCTATAGCTTCATTTAATTAGCTAATAACATGTTCATTTGCCACTAGACACTCGCCATTGGAAAACGCAAGGATACAAGGTTTTGTGCATAATGAGCACCAAATGAAGATACGTAAGCGTATATATATAGCTTTGTTTGCTGTTTGCCTATATCACAGATAGTTCAAATAACTGCGAAGTCCTGTTCATTTATTATTTACTATTAATAATTTTGTTTATTCGTCTGTCAGTCAATGTGTGATCTGCTTTCGTCGTCTGAAGAGCGCATCGTTTCCTGTCATTTGAAAACCTTCTGTTGCCTTGAGTAGTATATTCTACCTCACGTATTATACGTGAACGAATTTTCGACTAAAGTGGCACTTAACAAGTTCTGTTTAGTGGAGGAATCGAATGCCTGTTTGTGTTGGGCGCCTGTTTTTAGGATTGGAACACCAAGAGCTGAGCTGTCGAAAAGGACTCACTATCACTACAGCCCTTTGGGCAACCACCCCATGCTTTGTATTTTATGTACAACTTTTATTAGTGTATAGTCAAAGGCAGTTATAGTTTGACCCTTGTCCACGTTGCATTCATGGCCCATCCATACGGTTTCATCTTGTCCGCGTTCCCTTACTGGACGCTCTCCAGAGAGAGCAAATGACAAGGTACGGTGTTGTCGCTCCGGGTAACAAAGCCGCTTCGCCATTCGATACGCTTGGAGCAAATGAAAAAGGTTGTCAACATTAAGCAAATCTAATTCTGATATACTCGTTCCGATGGAACATAAAGTTGTTGGTGAATATTTTCAAAATGCGTTTACAGAAAGTCTAGTTCTGACTTAAATTGGCTCTAGGTTATCACCAAAATTAAAGGAGGACATTAAGTTGTATTAACCTAATTTTAACTTATTTCAGGTATGTTCATTTTATCCCTCGTACACATGGTTCTTTCTAATTCATTTCTATGAAGCCCCTAGCGACCAGACCGGTGACCTATCTAAAGTTCAGGTCCTGTAGGCCAAAAAAGCTCAAGCGACGCTTTAATAATAAAAGCCTATATCTGGTCATTTTGATATAAGTTTAAAATATAAGCATCCGAACATAACATACCCTAGCGCTGTACTTTTCATCTTCTCACGTATATTGGCAGATCTGCCCGCTAACAAAAGCAACAAAAGCATGCCCCTACTAACTAGCTAGGCATCTACATTAGGTTCGTATTTCCTTGCTTATCTTGGCGTCATCGCGACATCGAGGCCTGCATTTCTTCCGCCGTCCTTATTTCCCGGCCCAGGATCAAGCTGGCCATGTTGGGTCGCCTTTCATCTCTATACTCATCACGTCAACCAGAACTTCGGCAAGAGCACGCTGGCCCAGCTAGTCCGCGGTACAAGGCTCACATGCACTATTGGTAGCAGCAACACTAACGGTGTTGGCGGTAAAGCATAATATTCCAGAAAGCCAGGCTTGTCAAACCAAGCAACAGAGATGACCAGATCGTCTGACATGAAAAGAATTGGTAAAGAATGGGAAGACAATGGCAGCGAGCAATGACTGTGGCTTGGCCATCAGTTTCCGTATGCCTTTTTAGGCTGATTGTCCTCCTTTTCCTTTTCGGTTTAATTTTCCAGCCTCCTTCAGACGAATACGAAGGCCAGCCCTGCTCTGTGGAAAGGACGCGACCAAGTTAATGATCGCCAATGTGTGTACAATCGAGTCTGGCGAAAAGCGTTTTTGCCTTTTGCTAGAACTTTGTTGCTTCAAAAGTCAACAACCAAGGTCCTAACCACTCATCTAGGTTTAGGCCAGCCAAGATTCGAATAAATAAATAGTAACAAGCGTATTAGCTACCGCGACCTTTTTGAATTGCCCTTGGATATACTCAGAAGCGTTTATTATATTCAAATGACTAACTTTGGCAAAATCTCACTTGTTCATGAGCACTGAATTATCTCTTAAGATCATTTTACCTGTCTAGACTGTGTAGGACGTATCACTGTAGCAGCCTATTCAGGTTCCGTAGTGTCATTTTAAGGTTTTGGATAAAGGCAGCCGTTGCGCGTAGTATGCTAAAGCGAAAAGAATTTAACAAGGCTAGATAACAAAAAAAAAGAAAAACTTCTAGAACGACACAGCATAGGATGATAGTTAACATTTACGCACAGATAATATAAGCAGGTAAACTACACGCAGTTAATTGCTGGCCAGCAAAAGGCCAGCGGCAGCAGACAAGCTGAAGCTTAATCGACTAATAAACGTCCACAGTTAGCGGAAGGTGAACAAACGGCCGATATATGAAACTAGCATTAGAAATAAGTAAGGCACAGGACTGTTGTGCACCCTGCGTTCCCTGGCAGCTTTTTTGGCCTTTCCAGCCTCTTAGCAGAGAGCTGTTACCAGGCATTGACAGCAAGGTCACCTCTTCTAAAGAACAGAATTAGCATCTCTCGACCGCTAACCAGTTATTCGACGTCGTGGGAAACCAATGTTATAACTAGTTAACTTCAAACGAGCTTCGTTTTTCATTGTAAGTGCTTTTTTTTTTTTAGTGCAGACTAACTTTCTTGCTTACCCACACGCACGTGCCTTGAGTGCGCAATACAAAACTGCTCATGTCAGGTCAGCGTCTGACACAGTTTGTAGACGACAGCGTGAACCCATATGCCGTGATGCAACGAAAGTGCTTTGTGGCACATGAAGCCCTTGCACGACAAAGATGTCAAAGTATCTAAGGCCATATCTCAATAGCAACGCAATAACTTGCCGACCCGAGTCCGTAAAGTGATAAAGTTAGAGGAAACTTTATAACATATACGAAAGCCAAGTTAGATCTCTCGATAAGATAGACATTTACCGGCCGTTTCGAATTTTTGACTCACATTGACCTGATTCTTGTGCTATACGGCCATTGCTTGTGTTGTCCGATGTGAACGATTGAATCTCATTTCTGTCCTAAAGTATCATACCGAACTTGTTTATCGGACGTTCAAAAACATCTTCAATCAACTTAAAACTTTAATGGTACTAACAAGCCTAATTAAATGTTATCTCTCAGTTCAGTTAACGTTAAGCGTCTTTATTTAATTAAGTGAATCGCAAAATGAACTGTTTGACGGCTGCAATCTATATCTGGGTGGCATCAGTTACATATTAATGGTGAAACGGACACCGACTCTTGTAACAGCCAACAAGTTACAGTTATCTAGTAATTAAAAGTGGTCCTTGTTGATGTTTCTGCCAAAGATTCATGGCAAACTATGTTTCCAAACGCCAATTTGACAGATGATAAATGTGTGCTTAATGTCAGTGTATCCAATAGACCTTTGATTGACAGTGAATATGGAATAATCTTTGGTACCGAAGTTATAGCTCAAATTCTCCAACGTAACAGTGTAATCCTAAAATTCAGGGTTACATAAAACAGCTGCCCATATAAAGCGCACGCATAGGTTTCAGTATAATCAATGGACGCTTCTATATCTTCAGTTCCCATTTATATTCTCCACTATAATCTAATTTATTTCCTCAGCATATAAACACACGTACCCACGCGATTATATAGGTGCACCCCTACACGGAGAGCAGCCATTAACTAACAATTAAGCTCCGATTTTCCAGCGTTTTATCATTATCACTACAAGGTTACAGCGCACCGCGCTATAGATGCGCCTAACATTGAATTTGTATAGGTGACGCAAGCAAAGCTTTATTAACGAACATCGTCTCATCACGCTGCTCTAATAAAATTGGCTTTTTTCCTCTGTTTGGCTTTGTATCCTCGACGAGGAAGTTATTACGAAAAAGCGTCTTTCCTCCATTGAGCTCTTTCTCCAAGTTCTACGCCCTCCTGTCCCCCCCCCCCCCCCCCCTAGCTAGACGGCCTACACAACTGTTGCCTCCGCTGGCGTGCACGAGTCTTTGTATTGATGATGGCCTTAGATGCTATTCGGCGAGTTTGTTGCTCGGCGTCTATTTTTTCGTTAACCGATGGATCCTTTCTGTAGGATGTCTACGTCTACGTACGTAGGTTCGAACATACAGACAAACGAAAAAATAAACTTAACTACGAAGAGTTGGATGACGAGTAGTTGTTTCCCGCCAGCCGTAGCCCCTTACCACGACGCACCGACATAAGGCAAGCAGCTAAGACCGTGCTGACTCTTCGAAGCATCGGCGCAAAGTAAGAACAGGCATGATCTTTTAAACAAAAACTTTTTTTCTTACCTTAGCAACATCTGAAGTTAGCTTTTCTTGGGTAGTGCTCTTATTGGTGCTGTTGCTGCCGCTGCTGTTGCCAACACGAAGTGCCGCGGCCGCAAGTGCTCGTTTTGTTTTTTTCTTTCGTGGGAAACATATGCAGAGGATGAGCTGTACGACGAA